CCTCGCAGAGGGTCCCCCACAGACCCCTAGAGGGCCCAAGATGGGCCAACAGGCGTCCAAGACGGCCCAAGAGGGCTCCGAAAACGGCCCCAAGAGCGTTCCAGGAGCGCTCCGAGTTGCTTCCCCGAAGCTCCACATGGTCCCAGACGGTCCAAGAGCGATCAGAAACATCGACGACGACCTCCCGACGGCTCACGAGGCCTCCCCAGACGCCCCCACAGGCATCCAAGATTCCCCCCAAGAGGCCCTCTAGACGCAACAAATCGTTTGTTTCCTTCGTAAAACGTATATTTTTTTTCACACGTGCGCTTTTGGGGGTGACGAAAAACGTAGAAAAACACGTGAAATTAGTGTAGGGACGCGTCTGGTGGCTTTGAAATGGATTTGGGACGCCCCACGAGCGCTCCAAGACGTCCAAGTTGCCCGAAGACGGGCCACGAGGTGTCCTCGACGGCAGAAGAGGTCCCCACGAGCTCCCCCGAGGGCCTCCGAGATGCGTTCCACAAGGGTCCCTAGACGCCAAAATTGGGCCATTCCCATTGTGAAATGTACAGTTTAAAAAATTCAGCATTGGATCTTTCCGATGCTCCCCGACGGCCCAAGAGGCTCCCAAACCCGCTCCCAGACGGCCCGAGAAACCTCGCAGAGGGTCCCCCACAGACCCCTAGAGGGCCCAAGATGGGCCAACAGGCGCCCAAGACGGCCCAAAAGGGCTCCGAAAACGGCCCCAAGAGCGTTCCAGGAGCGCTCCGAGTTGCCTCCCCGAAGCTCCACATGGTCCCAGACGGTCCAAGAGCGATCAGAAACATCGACGACGACCTCCCGACGGCTCACGAGGCCTCCCCAGACGCCCCCACAGGCATCCAAGATTCCCCCCAAGAGGCCCTCTAGACGCAACAAATCGTTTGTTTCCTTCGTAAAACGTATATTGTTTCACACGTGCGCCTTTGAGGATGACCCCCGCTCCTGCACGGCCCCAGAGCCCCCCAAACCCGCTCCCAGACGGTCCAAGACGCCTCCAAGAGGGTCCGTACATAGCCCTCGAGGGCCCCAAGACGCGCAAACACACGTCCAAGACGGCCCAGAAGGGCTCCGAAAACGGCTCCGAGAGCGCTCCAGGAGCGGTCCGAGTGGCCTCGAAGAGAGCTCCACATGGTCCTCGACCGTCCAAGGGCGATCACAAACATCGACGACGGCCTCCAAACGGCTGAAGAGGCCCCCAAGACGGCCCAAGAGGCATCCACAATGCGCCCACAGAGGGCCTCCAGACGCAAAAAACCGCCCGTTCCTTTTGTAAAACGTATATTTTTTCTCACACGTGCGCCTTTCGGGGTGCCCCCCGCTCCTGGACGGTCCCAGAGCCCCCCAAACCCGCTCCCAGACGGCCCAAGACGCCTCCAAGAGGGTTCCCCATATAGCCCTAGAGGGCCCCAAGACGGGCCAACAGACGTCCAAGACGGCCCAAAAGGGCTCCGAAAACGGCCCCGACAGCGCTCCAGGAGCGCCCCGAGTGGCCTCGAAGAGAGCTCCACATGGTCCCCGACGGTCCAAGAGCGATCAACAACACTGACGACGACCTCCAGACGGCTACAGAGGCCCTCAAGACGCCCCAAGAGGCATCCACGATGCGCCACAAGAGGGCCTCTAGACGCAAAAAAACGCCCGTTCCCTTCGTAAAACGTATATATTTCTCGCACATGCGCCTTTTGGGGTGTTCCCCGCTCCTGGGCGGCCCCAGAGCCCCCCAAGACCGCACCAAGACGGTCCAAGAAGCCTCCGCGAGGGCCCCGCGACAGCCCAAGAGGGCGCCAAGACGGGTCTCAAGAGGGGCAGAGGACGGCCCAAGAGAGCCCCGAAGACAACGCGCGCGACTCGCGGTCAGATTCCTCGCAACTTGCGTCGCTTCCCGCCGTGCTCGTCACTTGCTTCCGCAGGGCGTTTCGGCGGGTCTCTGACCATGGCCTGAAACGATCGAAGGTCACCCCACGGCCGCCCCTGACGGTTCCAAAAGACACCGCAAAGCAGTTCTGAGGTCACCAAGGGCATACCACAGTCCTCGGCAACAGATGGCGACGGCCAAGACGGCCGAAAAGAACGCCCAGAGCGCCCCATGACAGCCCAAGAGAGGCCGATGACAGCCCAAGAGAGCCCCAAGACAGCCCAATACTGCCACAGGACGGCCTAAGGGGCCCCAAGACAACCCAAGAATGCCCCAAGAATGGCCCAGGGGCCTCAGACCATCCAAAGAGGCGACCAGACCACTGCGCGATTCTTCATAAGGGGTCGGCGGATGTGGCGTAAGCCTGAAGAATAATCCTACCAGCTGCAATAATAACCTTCTAGGGATCCTACCAGCTGCGATAGGATCCCTGCAGGGATCCTACCAGCTGCAAGAGGACCCCTACAGGGATCCCACCAGCTGTCACAGGATCCCTACAGGGTCCTACCAGCTGCAATAAGATCCTTATAGGGATCCTACCAGCTGCAATCGGATCCCTACAGGAATCCTACCAGCTGTAATACGATCCCTATAGGGATCCTACCAGCTGTGATAGGATCGCTATAGGGTCCTAGCAGTTGTACTGGGACCTCTATAGGCATCCTACCAGCTGTCATATAATCCCTATAGGGATCCTGCCAGCTGCTGACCGTGTCTTGTAAGAGTCCTGGGAAGAGGCCTAGTAGGAGACCGTAATCATCATCATAACCACCACTACCACCACTTCCACCAACACCACCACCACCATCATCACCATCATCATCATCAACAACATCATCATCATCCTCATCATCCTCATCATCCTCATCATCATCATAATCCGCATGATCATCATAGTCATCATCATTATCACCATCATCATCACCATCATCACCACCACCATCATGATCATCAGCATCATCATCCGCATCATCATCACCACCACCATTATCATCATCATCAGCATCAGCATCATCATCACAATCATCACCACAACCACCACCACCACCATCATCATCATGATCATCAGCATCATGATCATCATCACAACCACCACCACCACCATCATCATCATCATCAGCATCAGCATCAGCATCAGCATCATCATTATCATCATCATCATCATCATCATCATCATCATCATCATCATCATCATCAACTTTATCATAATCATCATCCTTTCCTCAATCGACGGCGGACCGAGACGATGGGGTGACCGTGTCTTGTAGAAGACGTGGGGGGAGACCGAATTGGATCCCTACAAGGCGTCCCTTTGGGTGTCTGGGGGCCGTTTGGGTGTCCGGGTGCGTGGGATGGCATGGACGTAGGGGTGTGGGGGGGGGGCGCCGAGGCTCCAGTGTAGGAATCCATCATTCCTCCGTTAATTGCGAGGAAGTCTCGAACGGGAACCGTCCGCGTTGTTGTTGTTGTAGTTGTTGCTGTTGTTGTTGTAGTTGTTGTTGTTGTTGTTGTTGTTGTTGTTGCTATTGCTGTTGTTGTTGTTCTTGTTGTTGTTGGGGGGGAGCGCCGGGGCCCGGCGCCCGCTCCTATTCATCAACAACAACAGCAACAACACCACCACCACCAACAACAGCAGCAACACTCATGTCAATACTGTTCACTCTTATCTGCTCGTGTGCCAATCAGCACGTATATCCCAAACCCTCGATACCCGCCCTCTTCGTCTTCGACCGTGCCCTCTTGGGGTGCACCATTCTTACCTACAATGCGTATTTCGTGCAGCCCCTAAGGCAGGAGAAGAGAGGACGGATGGAAGGAAGGGACAAGGGGAAGGGAGGAGGATGGAGCACGAGAGAGAGTAGCAGAGAGGGGGAAAACAGATGGGCAGATCTGGCAGGTAAACCCTAACAGGCGGGACGGGAAGGAGGGCCCAGGCCGCCAGGTCGAGCAGGCGGGTTGCTGACGCGTGCCTGCATGAATCGCGAGGAATTCCCAATCGACAGCGCGACTCCCTAATACATCGCGAGGAAATCCACAGCGAGAGCGTGATTCCTCAGGGTCGAGGTCGCGGCGCCTGAATAAATTGCGAGGACTTCCCACGCAAGAAAATCCTCCTTCCATGTCAGCCAGTGTGCCCCGCATCCTTTCTACCATGCCCCCCAAAAGGGGTCCACCACGCTGGAGCGTCCTCGAGCACACTCCAGACGGCCCCAGCACGCTCAAACAGACAAGGGAGGGCTCCTGCTTCCGATTTTCGCTTGGTCCTCCGCCGAATACGCAGACGCATTGAGAGGTGGACGGGCCGCGTTATCCAGGCCTGAAGAATATTGCTTCAGCTCGGGCCCCCTGGCGACTACAGAAACCGCGGCGATGATAATGGCAATGACGACCGTGGTGACGAGGGGATGCAAAGCAAGGGTGGCGGTGACGACGACAATGATGGCGGCACTGACGATGCTGGCGATGAGTCGTGGCGACATTGGTGGCGATGGCGATGGACATGGCGGCTGGGGGCAACCAGCGGTAAATTATGGTCGACGGCGGTGGCGGGATGACGTGGGAGATCCACCTCCGTCAAAAAAATAAGGCAACGCTCGTGCATGGCGGGCGGATTCGCAGGCTCTCATGGGGGCGGAGAAGGGGATGTGTTTTTGCCCGCGCGCGCCTCCCCGAGAGAACAACGCTTAGAAACGATTGTCAAAATGCCCCGTCCCACTCGCGATTTGAATGGCCGTTTCGTTCCGGACATCTTCCGGGTTTTGAACATCGGGCGCGCCTCTCGCGCATGCCGGAATGACAGGATCAAAAGACACAGCGGACATGGAACTTGCGAGCGTAACGTCGTCAAAGGCGTAACGGTTGCCAATGGTTCCGCGCACGGTAATGAAGAGACCCTTGTGTTTGGCAGCGGTATTCCGCGTGGTTCTCTAGCGTCGTACCAGAAAGCCTACAACTCACACGGTGGAATTCAATGACTCGGCAGAGTAATGTTACGCAGTCGTCGGTTTGTTCTGTTCCCGAGGTGCATCTCCAGCTCTGGTGTATGCCCACAGGGGTGTTTCTCAATACTCTGTTTAATCGCAACCTGTTGGCCCCGCATCGGTGCCCCAACTGCTTCTTGTATGAGCCCAAGCTCGAGTCCAGGCTTGCTGCTCGAGGCGTCTTCAACAGCGCGCGATTTCCGACGCGGTGTTGGGCGGCTTCCTAATATATGCATTGCTACGCGCTAGTAGGCCACTCACTCTACACGGGCGACCAGAGCAAACGTGGGCAGAAGGGCCATGCAGTGCGCGAGGCGCAACAGAAAACTCTTTAGCCAGAGGGTTCCACTCAAGAACGTCGCTTCTGCCGTGGCGGCGCCACAGTTCAAGAGAAAAGCCTGAATTATCGAGATAGTCACCTCGTCCCAGGGAAGGAGGGAGGGAACTACAGAGCCAAAAAGGATTAAGAAACCGACATCCTGTCGAGCGGTCGCCCTCGAGAACGCAGCAAGAGATGTCAGGGGCAGAACATTGCTACGCTCCAGTAGGCCACCCGACACGGGCGACCAGAGCAGACGTGGGCAGAAGGGCCATGCAGTGCGCGAAGCGCAACAGATAACTCTTTAGCCAGAGGGTTCCACTCAAGAACGTCGCTTCTGCTGTGGCGGCGCCAAAAAGCCTGAATCATCTAGATAATCACCTCATCCCGTACCCCGTAAATCGGGCTGTTAGGGCAGGGTGAGTGGGACATCGGATCTTGAACATATTCTGCAGCCTCCGAAGGGCTGCTGGCACAGAACGAAGCTGGGTAGACGTCATCTTTGCAATCTGGCGCATTAGAGTGCCATGCTTCTCGGAGCGACGCACGCTGGAGGCCGAGCGCCAGAGGCCTCTCTTCTGGGTTGCCTCTAGAGGATGCAGCTTGAGAGCGGCGGCAGTGCTCGGGCCTCCGTGTCTCGCACAGTGCGGCGTGACTTTGAGAGAGCTCAGCTTCACGTCGGCCACGGCTTGGTTGAAGATTTGCTCGTACTTTGCGAGGCTGATGTCGACAAGGGGTCTGCCGCGGCGGGCCTTCCGCGAGGCCCAGAGCAGGGCGTCGCGGCAGATGCCCCTGTTGGCCTTGAGACTGGCCTGGTCGCCGAAGACGATGGTGCAGTCGTGGTCCCCTGACTGAGTCGATGGGGCAGGCTGCTGGCCGTGGTCGTCGGCCTGAGGCGCGATCGTGACCACGAGGCTGGGGTAGTTGGGATTGGGCCCAGCCTGGCGCTGGCTCACCTCGCGGCTCGTGATGGCCAGGGTGTTGATCGGCCTGATGTACCCGTCGAAGCTGACGAGCGGGGCCCCAGCGGCGGCGACCCCCTCGCGGTCTCTCTCGGCGAGGTTGTCGGCGATCAGCAACGCCGCCTCCCACGGCAGCGGATCTCTGACTCGATCGGGCCCTGCCTTGAACCATCTGGCCAGGGCGTCCTTGGCACGGTACATGGTGGTTGGCGATCTTCGCGGGTAATCCTTCACGAAGATCGTCCCGTGGACGGCGTTCCTGGCGTGGGCGATGCTGAGCCCCTGGAAGTACTGGTGGTCGAGGTACCTCGTCATGGCCAGGTCTGTCTCGTCCATGGACACCTGGCGGAGGTGCTGCTCGGCCGCCCACTGGCTGAACTTGCGGTGGGCCTCGCGGTGCAGGGCGACGGTGCGGGGCTGGACACGCTGGTGCTTGAGGCGAGGCCTTTCCGCCCCGACTGCCCGCTCGCGCCAGCGCGCCCCGACGCTCTCGGCCGCGTGCGCCCCGGCCCAGCGCCTGCCCGCCAGCGGCGGCAGGCTTGGGCCAGGCGGCGCCCCACTGCGGCGCCGAGGCGGGCCACTCGGGCGGCGACCCCGAAGGGCAGGAGGGTTGCGGCCGCTGGAGCTGGACGCCTCCGCCTGGGAAGTTGGCCGCCAGCTCAATGCCCCAGTCGTCGCCGAGCGGGTCACCGGCATGAGCACAGCGTGCACCGCGGGGGGCGCAGGCCGCGAGGAGGCGAGCCCATCTGCGGCAAAGCTCACGCGGGCTGGCCCCCGCAAGGCTGGTCTTCCAATGGCTGCGGATGGCCCCAGAGGGTGATGTGAGGGATACCTTGCCCTGGAGGATCTCGTGGCTGTGGTTCCCTGGGCAGAGGCGCTCGAGAGAGGTGATCTCTGGGGGGCTCGACATGAGGTACGTGGGCTTCTTGTAGGCGCAGCCGTTCTGGCAGTAGTGAAGGAGAGCCCAGTTGCCACCTGAGGCCTTCAGGAAGTCCGTGAGGGGGTCCCAGTTGAAGAGCTTGGACCCAGCCGGGTTCTCCAGAGACCAGTGTACGCCGTACTGATGGCATCGCCGTAGGAGCCGTAAAGTAGCACGAGCAGCTCGAAGCCCTGGAAGCTGATGAGAGGCCCGATGGGACCCAGTAGCGAGTGACCAGAATGTGCACGGAGTACCGAAATGAATGAACCAAAGCTTCTTGAGGCGAATCCAACGTGATAGGGTGCGAAAGGCAGAATGATGATGGACGTCGAAATGCTTCCCATTTCCACTCTCGAAGTGTGGAGTACAATGCAAACGAATGTCTCTGACGGCTGCCGTGAGCCTGCCGGTGCCCGCGTAGAGCTCGCAAAATGCCCGGCGTCGGCTGCGGCCCCCACGGGCGCGCTGGCACGGCTGTCCGCGCGACGGGGCCCGTGGGGCAGCGCGAGGGGGCTCGGGCGCTGGGCGCCCGGGAGCCGCGCCCGCCCGAGGGGGCTCCCGCCGCGCGAAGGCGCCTACCCTGGCTAAGCGCGCAACCGCCCCGCCAGGCGTGAGGCCGGCGGCCGGCATGCAGGGCGCAGGGCGGCGCACGCGGGCAGGGGGCCCCGGGGGCTCTGCCGCCAGCCCCGCGTTGGCCGACTCGATGCTGGCCAGGGCCCGCGGGCAGCCACGCTGGGGATGATCGGGTAGGACGTGTCCCAGGTCAGCAGCACGGCTGTCGGCATCCGTCGGGTTGCGGCCTGACTCGCAGTAGCGCTGCCTCCACTGGATCTCGCACCCGCTCTGGCGGGCGGCACTGACCTGCCAGAGCTGGAGGAGGGCCTTGTCCCGGGCGAGCCCCTTCTCGAAGCTGAGGAGCGCCGCCATGTTGTCGCCCAGGCTGCCGACGCGGAGGCCGTGCATGCGGGGGTCGCGCCAGGCTCGGACGAGGCCGAGGAGCTGAGTCCGAGCCTCCTTCACGTGGATGGAGGCCCTGTACCGAAAGGCGCCCCGCACGATCATCTTCCAGCGACTGCGGACCAGGAGGGCGTCGTCCAGGGATGGCACGGCGCCCTGCACGATGGCGGTCCTCGTGCTGGGGAGGCGCCGGTCGATCACCGACGGCTTGGAGCTGGGAGCCAGGAGGCCGGCGATGAGCAGGTCGGAGGTGGCCGTGGGCTCAGGCGTCCAACCGCAGATCTCGTCGCTCGGGACCCCCGGCGCGACCAGCTCCTCCTCCTCCATCTTGAAACTCCAGCGCTCGCGGTGCTTGAAGGCCTGCATGACCTCGTAGTCGGCGCAGGCCGTCTCGTGGAGGGCGTAGCCGCCGTTCCCCGCGACGGCAAAGGCCAGCCCGTCCAGCCACGCAGCTCACCGCCCGACGCGTCGCTGCAGTAGACTACACGCGACCAGGGGGCGGCGAGGTCCACGTCGGCCAGCAGCAGCAGGCCCTTCACCACGCGGAGCTCGTCCAGCAGGTGGCGGCCGAGGGGGGCCCGCTCGTCCAGGCGCTGCGCGATGAACCGGTACCCCTCGTCCATCGCCGAGAGCGCTGGCCGCGTGATCATGAAGTGATCGGCCAGGTGGCCGTGCACGACTCTCGAAGGGCACGGCCAGACGCACGACGCACACGTAGCAGATGCTCCAGGCCAAGGTAGAGGCGCCAGGCACGAGCCTCCGTGTGGCGAAGGCGGTGCGCAGCCGTGTCGAGCACGACGCCCACCGTGGTGTACAGCTTCGTGGGCTCCACCAGGTCGTGGTAGTCGATGCCCAGGTAGTCCAGGACATGCTGGATGCCGCGCAGCGCGTGCTCGGTGCCCCAGCGGTTGAGGCCGATGACGTTGGCGTTGTCCACGTAGGGCTGGGACAGCGGATGGCCGGGCGCCAGCAAGGGCGCGGGGCACCTCTCGTGCACCAGGCGGCCTCCGTCTTCACATCCCAAGCTCAGGAGGCCCTTGCACTGGGCCTCCTCTAGGAGATCCTGGCAGAAGAACAGTGACCACGACCGGCCCATCAGTAGACCCCGAAAGACCGCGAAGATCCGAGTGTCGCTCGACACCTGGACGCAGCGGCCGTCGGCGGGGATGTACACCAGCGGGTCGCCGAAGTCGGACGCGGCCTCCGGGTAGTTGAACCCGAACCAGTCCGCGAGGTCGTCGTTCGCGAACTGGTCGAACCCATCCTTGAGGTCCAGGCCCGCAGCGTGGATGTCGGCCGCCTGGCGATCGACGCCCTGGGGCCGCAGGGCCTGGTCCGAAAGGGCGAGACATGCGATGGCCCCAGCGGGTCCCAAGGCGGTGTGGGGCGGCGCCTCCTGTGGAGCGAGGAGGGCTCACGCCCGCCCAGGACGAGGCGGAGGGATCCGTCCTTCTTGCCCGCGCAGGAGGCGCCGATGCGACCACGGATGGAGAGCCTGAGCCCGACGAGGCCCACGGAGGCGAGGCGCTTGATGAAGTCGATCCTGGCACGGCGGTGGTTCTTCAGGATCGGGTCCCAGTGCGGCGTGATGGGCTGGGTCAGCTCGCTCTCCTGGAGGGCGTCCAGCTCGGCCTCAGTCCTGAAGATGAGTTTGTCGGCGTTGTCCAGGTACCTGCAACCCTCAGAGCCCAGGCAGCCGCGAAGCTCTTGAGGGTGACGGTCGCGATGGAGTACCTTGATGCGGTCGGGGTCGCACGGCTTCAGGTTCATCGGCTGCCCTGAGTACAGGTCGTGACTCTTGATGAGGTCGGCGTAGGCGGCGGCGGGCAGGATGCCGGGCCATTCTCCGTATACGTTCTCGATGCGCCGGCTGACGAGCGAGATGATCGAGCGCTGCGCCTCCGTGAGGCGACGGCTCGAAGAAGGCTGATGCGCCCGAAGGGCGCGCGATGGGGCGTCGAGGGCGTTCAGAGACCAGATCGCCTCGCGCGCGCACCGCGCTCGCGACCGCGATGCAGGCCCAGCATGGCCGCCGCGCGCGAGCACCTCCCCCGACAGCGGGAGGGGGAAGGGATCTCCGTGACTGCGACCCTGGCTGGCGCGGTAGTCCTTGGCGGGATCAGGTCGAGGGCCGTCTCCCGCATCATCGGGCCGCCAAGCTCGTCCGCGCCGTAACTCACGTCGGGGCCTCCAGCGACCAGGGAGACGTCCACGAGGAGCGTCAGCACGGAGATGGCGACGAGAAGGGCGCCCAGGCAGCAAGCGACGTCGAAGCAGGCGTCGCCAGAGAACCTGCCCCGTTGACCCGGGCGCCCCGGGGCCGAGGGCCCCTACTCGGCCGAGGGGTTGGGGCCCTTGCCGCCGCCGCGGCCTGGCCCCTTGCCGTCCTTGCCCTTGTGCTTGGCGTGGTCGATGCCGTGCTCCTCGCTCCAGAGCCGCCCCTGCTTCATGTTCTGAGCCTCTTCGCGGCGGGGCGAGGAGACCCACTTGGAGAAGGTCGGCAGCTGCATCCGCCCATCCTCGGCCATGGGGGCCGCGAAGATGCCATCCAGGTTCGTGAAGTCTGGCCCCTTCGGGTTCCTCCTGACCGCCAGCTCGACCTCGTAGAGCCAGCGGGCGAGGTGCTCGATGACCGCGCAGTTGGCGAAGTCGAGCTGGTCGTAGCAGATGGCCTGGTCGAGGCCCTCGCAGTTGCGGCGGTGTGTCCGGCACGCACCCGACGTGGTACTGACCCCCGACTTCGTTCTCCAGTTCAGGTGGTGAGTGATGAACACGATCCCAGCAGCGACGAGCGCCATGACCAGCTCCGGGGCGCAGGCGTCGCCGCGGAAGGGCCAGCCAGGCCGAAGGGCCTTGCTGCTGGCCCGCACCCCGTTGACACGCTCGTCGCCGAGGATCCGCCTGTCGCGGCCTGCGCCAGTCGACTTGGGCAGCCGCCAGTTGTCCAGGTCCTCGTCTAGCACCCTCTCGACGGCGAGCCAGTCCTCGTCCACACAGGCGAGGCCACGGTCGCCTCGGATGATGAGGCTGTCTGCGTCGGCGAGGGCCGCGGCGGGGAGCGCGTCGCCGAAGCCTGGATGCACGGGGTCGGCGATCAGCCACCGCCCACCCTCGGGCTGTGCGTCCGCGCCCCCCGTGGGCCCGTAGACGGCCAGCAGCTCCTTGGCCTCTCGGCGGACCTGCTGGAGCTCCTCGGGGGTCAGAGGGTCGAACGCGTAGACCTCGCCCCTGACCCGCCGCGGGAACTCCGAGTCCCGCGTGAAAGGGATCACTCTGTGAGTAGTGACGTCGATGAAATGAATGCTCAGGTCTGGCGTCGAACATATCCACTGCCCAGGATTGGGCGTGGCCAGGACAAGCAGTCGCATATGCCATCGAAACCCGTTGGGGTCGTCGAAAAAGTCCACCAGGATCTGTCGTTCGGGTACGTCAAACGTGCGGGCCATGCCGTCTCCTCAGCGACGATGGTGTTGCCCCCGAGGGGCCGCCAGGGGTGGCGGCGGCGGTGGGCTGCTCGTCCGCCAGGGCCGGTGCGTCAGCTGGACGCGCTCGAGGGGCCACCAGGGCCCGGGCGGCCGCCACCGCCGCTCGCCAGGCGGCGCAGGCCAGCGCGCTGAGGAGCACGCCCGCGATGAGGCCGAGCAGGAAGATCCACCAGCCTCCCGACCCGCCCGCACAGGGCGCTGGCTCCGGGCACGGCCCTGTGGGCGGCGCCTGTGGGCCCCGCGGGGCGGCTGGCGCCTCCTGGGGCGCGGCCGCTGGGAGGGCCCCCACGGGGCAGGCCGGGCACGGCGGCGCGGCTGGGCACACGACGTGCGCGCAGGCGAGGTTGCAGCTCGGGCAGGGAAGGCAGCTCGGCGCCGCAGGGCAGCGCCCGAGATAGCCCAGAGCAAGGCTGGCGCCGCGATCAGCCAACCATGGCCACATGGAAGGTGCGAGCGCGGCCCTCTCGAACTACAGAGCCAAAAAGGATT